GGCGGCGAGACGTTCGGGCGAGACTGGGTGCGCTCCGTCCGGTGGCGATGCCGCGCCAGGAGCCAGAGGGTGAGAGGCCATGGAGGCGGTAACGGGTATTCACGAACGTCTTAGCGCGTGAGGCCTGCACGAGCCTCTGGAAGTGGGCGTTGTGCTTCCGTGACCCGTGGGGACCCAGCTCCACTCGGGGAGCTTCGCCGTCGGAAGCAGCTTGCACGGCCGGAGTCACCGGCTTCAACCCCACCTGTGTCTGTCTGGGAGCAGAGCAGCCGGCCTGTGTCCTGGGACTCACTGGGCGGTAAGCCACCGCCCTGACCTACGGAACTTTCTGGACATTGGAACTTGTGGCCTACTGGTGAGAGGAACCCACGTTTGTGGAATGGATTTTGTAGGGGCTCTTCCTCCCACCAGGTTCCTCTCCAGGGGTCACACCTCCGCTGTGAGCGCAGGGCATGGCCACCCCTGGGCCGTGAGGACAGGCTGTCTCTGAGCACAGGGGTCCGTACTGCTCATTTTGTTGGTCATAAATCCTGTGGCACAACAAATACTTGTTGCTGGTCTGACAAAAAGGTATGTTGATTCATGCACACCGGCAGCTATGGTGGTGTTGGCTGTTTCATTTTTAAATCTGAGTCTAAGGGAAGAGGCCAGTGCCCCTGACTAGTCAGGCAGTGAGGTCCTAAGAGCTCCCCTTTACACGAAGACACCGCAGGGCAGGATCGCAGACAAACCACTCTGGGCTCACACCAGGTTGAATGCACAGGACGGGCAGTGCGTCAGGTGACGGGATGGGCACCGGTCTCTGTGAGTCAGTTGGTTGAGCGTCGCCCCCGTACACCAAGAGGTTGCCGATTTAATTCCTGGTCAGGGCACATGCCCGGTTGTAGGTTTGCTCCTGTCAGGGTGCACGCAGGAGGCAATCGATCGATGTTTCTCCCTCAATAAAAACAGCCCTAGCCAGTTTTGCTCAGTGGCTGGTTCATTGGCCCAAGGACTGAAGGGTCACTGGTTCGATTCTGGTCAAGGGCACATACCTCGTTGCAGCTCAATGTCTGGACTTGATCAGGGTGCGTGCAGGAGGCAACCAATCGATGTCTCTCTCACATTGATGTTCTCTCTCTCCCCCTCCCTTCTTCTCTCAATGGAAAAAATATCCACGGGTGAAGTTTAACAAAAAAATCACTACACACACACACACACACACACACACACACACAAAAGGCCTGATGCACGAAATGCATGCAAGAGTAGGCCTTCCTTCCCCCGGCTGCTGGCTCTGGCTTCCCTCCGGCACCCGGGACCCTGGCTTCCTGTACAGCCCTGGCTTCGTCCAGAAGGATGTCCGGTCTAATGAGCATATTACGCTTTTATTATTATAGCTATGTATACAGACACACACACACACACACACACACACACACACACACACACACAAAAGAATAAGTGGATGAGCACCACCCAGCACTTCAGGAGGCCCAACCCCCAAGGCCAGTGACGGGGTGGATCCTGGCACTGGGAGGTAGCAGAGAGGGGCGGCTGCCCGTGTCTGGCCGAGAACTGCTTTCAGGGCCCTTGTTTGAGATGGACACTAAAAGCGGAAACTCCAAGACCACCAGCAGCCTGGTTCGTGGGCACCCAGCCCCCAGGCTCAGCCCCGCCCTGGTGAGTGAGGCCAGGGGACAGGTGTCAGGGGGCCGGGCATGAAATGAGGCTCAACAAGGGTAACTATTTCTCCCGACGGACACGAGCTTCCTTAGAGTCCGAATAATCTACACGCTCCAGGTTCTCTAGCCAAAGGGCCTTTAGTCTTCACACGAGGAGACACTACAAGAACAATCCTATATCATAAAAGGCTAATATGCAAAATGTTCCCTTGGGCGTTCAATCGGGAGTTTGATCACTCGCTAATGTGTGCTGACCACCAGGGGGCGGTGTGGAACATGGCAGGCGACCAGCAGCAGTGCTAGGTGCTGAGGGAGGGAGAGAAGGGAGGCGGTGGGGAGGCTGGGACGTGGGGAACCTGATTGGCCCTGATCGCCGGCCAGGCCTGGGACCCCACCGTGCACAAGTTTGTGCACCGAGCCCCTCGTATAAAAGTAAGGCTCCCGTGTTTCCACGTGAAGAACAGGGAACAGCATGTTCTGTTCAGGAAGCATTTTATTGTTGCTCCAAGCTTTACATTTCGCCGACAGAAGCCTCAGCGCGTTCAGAACACCTCCCGCATGGCTTTGCTCAGCTTCTGGATCTTGGTTTTGGCGGACATGTCAACATACCGCTCTCCGATGCGCACAATCATCCCGCCCATGATTGACGGGTCAGTCTAGGAGCAAACAGGTTGGACACGTGAAAACACACGGACCTTGCGCCAAGCAAAAGGGAGACACAAAGCGCTTCCGAGGCTGCGTGCTGCCCGCACGGACAGAGCACACCCAGAAAGAGGCGTCCGTTGGGAGCGGACTTGCAGCCCTTAGACGGGAAACCCCAGGCCCACGACAGGCACATCAGCACGGGCAGACCTGACGTCTCACTGTCCCCAGTGACAGCCCGAGGAAACCCCACGTAATAAACCTACCTTAACTTTCAACTGCAACACTTGGCCTTTGGCCAGGAAGCTGTTCAGGACCGTCTTTAATTCAGAGAGCGTGGCTTCATCTAAAGCCTGGAAAGAACATAACCCTCTTTTACACAGAAACAAAACGGACGCTTCCCAGCGTCAGGAAAAACACCCATCGGCCTGGGAGGCCCATCCCCCGGGACTGGGAGGCCCCATCCCCCGGGAGGCCAGCAGCCATTATTCCCACAACACGTGTGCGAAAACTGAGGCTCACAGTGGCTAAGAAACTCACGCAAGGTTGCCCAGGGAGTGAGGACCAGCGCCAACACTGGAAATCAGTCTATTTCTAAAGATGCCCTTAGTCGCTAATGGAAGTGTATGTTTTTTTTAAACAGTAGAGCGACCTGCCCCGGGCCTGGCCATGAGACAGTGTGGCCCTTGAGCCGGTAAATGTCCCTGAAACTGGCCCGGCCAGGCTGGAGCTCGTCCTGCTGCGCCAAGGTTGCGGGTTCCTTCGTGGTCAGGGCACACACAGGAACCAGCCACTGAGGCATGAGTAAGGGGAACCACAAATCGATGTCTCTCCCTCTGTCTCTAAAATCAATTAATAAACAAAGTGAGATGTCCCTGACACCGCTCTTTGGAGACGCAGAGCGCTGTACGGACTAGGAACGGCCACCAGGAGACAGGCGCTGAGACTCCGGGCACACTTGCCGCTCTCCAGGGCGAAGTCCCACAGACCGTGTCCCACACTGAAGCGCAGCAGGAACAGACAGACTCGGGATAAGAAAATGAACTCTGGGGAGGGGGTATCCGAAGGAGTATGGGCTGTGGAGAGGGTCTGAGTTCAAATCCCGGCTTCACCGCTTGTGACCAGAACAAACAACTCAACTTCCCTGGGCTGGTTTCCTCGCCTGTGACACAGAGATAATCATTCTGCTTCGCACGGCCGTGGACAGTAAATTACAAAGGTGCCCGGCACATGGGAGGGTTCAGTAAATGGCGCCTATCACAGCCCACGCCATCAAGTCAGTGAGAGCCAAGGGCCTGTGCGCCCCACACTCTCCCCTTCACCCCCAAAGGCTGGAAACCCGAGTCTCAGTAAACTAACAGAGTCACACCTGCGTCGGAGCACAAAGCGCTGTCCCTCACACCCTCAGCCCCGTCTCCAGCCTCAGGAACAGCCCCGTCAGGGACGCGTGAAGGTGCGTGAGGCCCGCGGAGCGCAGGCTCCCGGAAGCGGGCGGAACCGAGCAAACCTCCGTGACAGGTCATCTCTCCCCAGGTCTTGATTTTAGCCACTTTTCCTTTTTTGTTCTGCAAACGTGATGCACGAAATGCCAAGGCGAACGCAGCGGCCACAGCCCTCACTCACCGAGGCAGTGGTCACCGTGCACGGGACTTCCCCCCGGTGCACGCTCATCATGGTGGAAAAGGCGGCAATGACGGCGGGCGTGCTGGTCAGGCGGCCGTTCTCAGCGAGCAAATCTGGGGAAGTGAAGGTGTTTCAGTAACTGGACACTCACTTAAAATGGCCATTCGTGGGTATCATAGTGACCCCCAAAGCGTCATTTGTGGCCTTAAAATATTCTATTTAGCCCTGGCTGGGTTGGCTCAGTGAATAGAGTGTTGGCCTTGGGACTGAAAGGTCCCGGGTTCTATTCTGGTCAAGGGCACATGCCTGGTTGCAGGCTCGATCCCCAGTAGGGTGTGTGCAGGAGGCAGCCGATCCATGATTCTCTCTCATCTGTGATATTTCTATCTCTTTCTCTCTGCCTCTCCCTTCCTCTCTGAAATCAATATATTTTAAAAAAATATATTTAATGCTCTTTAAGAATGCGAATGGAGGAGATTGTTACTCAGTGTTAGTTTTCTTAAGAGACTGCGCCAACATGCATTTAAATTAGTAAGGGGCGTGTGTCTTATCCAGATTTGAAACAGATATCCTAGTCTTATCTGTTTAATCCCTTCACCTCTCACCCAGCCCCCTCCCCTCTGACAGCTGTCAGCCTGTCCTGCCTCCGTGAGTCTGTTTATAGTTTGTTTATTTTGTTCATTAGATTCCACATATAAGAAAGATCATATGGCACTTGTCTATCTCCGACTGGCTCAGTGCACTTAGCATAATGCTCTCCAGGTCCCTCCGTGCTGTTGCAAAGGGTAGAATTTCCTTTTTTATAGCCGGGTAGGATTCCGTGTGTCAATGCACCACAGCATTTTAGTCATTTGTCTGCACTTGGCTTGGCTTGGCTACTGTACATCGCACGACTGTGACAGGGGCGTGCAGAAGTTCTCTCACACTCGTGTTTCTGGCTCTTCAGACGCAGTGCTGGGAGTGGGCCTGCCGAGTCACAGGCAGTTGCACCTTTAATTTTTTGAGGAACTTCCATGCTGCGTTCCAGGGGCTGCACCCGCTGCCTTCCCACCAGCGGTCACGAGGTCCCCTTCTCCCCACATCCTCGCCAGCACGTGTGTGACTGATGAAGCCACTGACAGGTGTGAGGTGATGTCCCCGAGTTGTAACTCAGTGACACTGAGCATCTTCCCACGTGTATTTGCCATCTGTATGTTCTCTTTGGAGAAGTGTCCATTCAGGTCCTTTGCCCATTTTTTAAATGGGATTGCTTTTGTGGTGTCGAGTTGCATTAGTTCTTTATAAATTTTGGATATTAACCCATCAGATGTATCCCTGGCGAATATGTTCTCCTATTCAGTGGGTTGTCTTTTAATTTTGTTGATGGTTTCTTTGCTGTGCAAAAACTTTTTAGTTTGATGCAGCCCCACTTTTTATTTCCCTTGTCTCCAAAAAATACATCGGAAAAAATATTATTACGAGAAATGTCTGAGACTTTACGTTTTCTTCTAAGATTTTTATGGTTTTGAGTCTAACACTTAAGTCTTTAATTGATTTTGAGTTTATTCTTATGCATGGTGTAAGATGGTCTAGTGTCATTTTTTTTGCATGTTATCTGTCCAGTTTTCCCAACACCATTCATTCAGTAGATTATCTTTGCCCCACTCTATGTTCTTGCCTCCTCTGTCAAATATTAATTGACCATAAAGGCACGGGTTTATTTCTGGGCTCTCTATTCTGTTCCATTGATCTGAGTGTCTGTTTTTATGCCAGTACCAGGCTGTTTTGATTATTCAGGGTCTTTTGTGGTTCCATACAGATTTTTGTGAAATCTACCATTGGTATCTCAATAGGAATTGTGTTGAATCCATACATTGCTTTGGCTGGTATGGACATTTTACTGATATTAATTCTTTCTATTCATGAGCATGGTATATGATCTACTTGTACCTTCTTCAATTTCTTTGGTGTCTTATAATTTTCTAAGTATAGGTGTTTTACATCCTTGGTTAAAGTTATTTCTAGTTTTTGTGTTTTTTTTTAATGTGACTGTAAATGGGGTTGTTTTCTTAGTTTGCCTTTCTGATAGTACATTATTGGTTTATAAAAATGCAAATGACTTCTGGATATTTTATATTCTGCTACCTTACTAAATTAATCAGTTCTAGTAGTTTTTTGGTGGGATTTTTAGGGTTCTCTCTCTCTCTCTAGTATCATGTCATCTACAAATAATGTTTTTCCTTTTAGTTTCCAAGTGGATGCCTTTCTCTTGTCGGATTGCCGTGGCCAGGCCTCCCCGTGCTATGCTGGGTAAGGCAAAAGCAGACACCCACCTTCTTCCTGATTTTAAGGGCAATGCTTTTAGCTTTTGCCTGCTGAGTATGATGTTGGCTGTAGGGGTGTCAGGGCCTTCGTGACATTGCGGTCTGTCCCCTCTATTCCCACGTGGCTGAGTTTTAACCATAACTGGGTGCTGGATGTTTATCCTTCCATTGGTTCATGTGCTGTATCACATTAACTTATTTGCATATACTGTACCAGCCTGCATCCCTGGAATAAATCCCACTTGGCCATGGCGTATGATCTTTTAAATGTATCGCTGGAGATCTGATTTGCTAATATTTTGTTGAGGATTTTAGCACCTGTGTTCATCAGGGATATTAGCCTATAATTTTTTTCTCTGTAGTGTCTTTATCTGGTTTTGGAATTAGGACAATGCTGGCCTCGTAAAATGAGCTTGGGAGTCTTCACTCCTCTTGGATTTTTTGGAATAGTTAGAGAGGAGAGGTGTTAGCTCTTGTTTGAATGTTAGTTCTTTGAATATTTTGATCACAGCTTGCATCTGATTTTCAAATGTAGGTCACAGAATTTAACATTCGGCTACAAATCCTAAAATTAACACTGTGTATCTTAAAAAATGGTGGCACAAATACACATTCTTTGGAACTTGTATTCTGAGTTGACCTGGGTTTGAAAAGCAACCTGATGGACCGAAGGATGTAAATTTCTCCAAGGACAGAGGACAGCCAGGCTACAGACCATCCCGATGGTGCGAATCCCACTGGTGGCCGTGGGCTGAGACACTGAGATTAGACACTCACACCTTAGCATCGTGAGCCAGGGCCCCTCAAAACTCAATCCGCAGATGGTCAGTGGGGAGAGGAGAGGACAGACGGGGGAGGCCTGACTCTGTCAAGGGCAGCGACGCCCGTGTGCCTGCCCCTGGACGGCCTTCCCAGCAGCGAGTCTGCAGGGACTCGGGAGAGAGCCAGTACTTACTGATCAGGTTGGCTGTGAGGGGAGAGAGCTTCTCCTTGGCCGTCAGCTCGTTCAGGCTTTTCACTTTAACAGAACGCTTCGTAAAGGGGTTCAAAATGGAGGCAGCCATTTTGGGTTCCTTCAGGAGTTGCTAAAAGTGCCAAAAAAGAATTTCTTAAGTTCTTTAGAGCATAAACGATCCTAGCTGCCACACACACTTCTTATGGGTCATGTATTTCATGAATTAAATTGGCACTCTCAGAGCACAAAGGACAGTTACAATCAAATAACTTTCTGCCTTTAAGCATACACCACACCATGATTTCACATAGGATACACTATTTCCTGAAAAAATGTAGACACTTTTTAAATTTCTGAAAATTAACTTTTGCTTTTAAACAGAAACTATAAAAAAGTATGCACCCCCAAAACCCAGTTCACTGTGTATCTTAACGTATTTGATATGGGTCCTACCCTAGTTTTTCACGTACTGAGAGGATGCTGGCAATGCCAGCACTCAGGTGCGGGCCTAAACGGTGCCCCCTGGAGGGGCCTCTCGGCTCTGTGCTCCCGCTCGGAGCTCGAGAACCAGCCCAGCGGGGGGTGTGGGGCTTCAGAACAGCCTCCCACCCCCCGTCCGGGAGGGACAGCAGGCAGAACACAGGAGTGCAGGCACCTGAGGCCACTTTGTCTCCCCTCTGTGAACCCACACACGTCTGGATCCAGTGACCGACGCTGCTTCCATCTCTGTCACACCCCCGCCGCCCTCAGTGGCCGCGTTAGCAGCTTCTCCCTGGCGCCCGCCCGGGGCCTGTCTCTGATCCGCCGCCATCTCAGGAGAAAGTGCAATGTGTGGCCCCAAACCAACATTTTTCCCGAACTGCTGGATCACATACACGAAGAGATTCTGGAATCAGGGTTGCCCAATGGACAGTTAGTGATGCCTGGAGCGTCACACTTTTCTCTCACTCACAGTCTGAAGGCAAGGGGCTCCTTTCTATGTCTCCGCCGACTTCTGGTTTTAGTCAAACCCCATCCCACAACCCAGGTCATTCTCTAAAGGAAAAAACACAGTGGGAATGTAGTAAGCAGTGGGCAGGAAAGCACTCACCGCTATTCTTGACAGCTCCTTTTCTACTTGATCCAGTTTATTCTGTTTAGATGCAGCAGAGAACAGAGCAGTGGCATAGCGGCCTTCCACACCGTACACCTGGACAGGTGGCTTTAAAAAAAGGTAGGGAGGGGACAAAAAGGAAAATCAGTAAATAATCTACTGTGAATAGCAGAATTAAATAGCTGTATTTAAAAAAGACATCTTTTGTGGCATACAAGTTAACTATGTTGTCAGAGCTATCTGAATGGCAATTCCCACATTAGAAGTCTTCCCCCGGCCGGTCAACCTTTGACCCTCCAGTTCCACCCCGCAGAGCGAGGGCTTAGGAAAGACGGTGTCCAACCCCTTCAGCCTAACCACCTAGGATCAAGTCCATGAGTCTTGAGACGGGCTGGCTTCCTTTGAATGCAATGCTATTGTTTCAGGATGGGAGGCAGTTTTGAACATGTGAGAGCCACGAAAACAGGTGTCTATGAAGCATGTGCAAGCACACTTCGCGCATGTCACAGGAAGACTGTCTCTTACGAGCCTCCTCACCAGTGGAGCCCTTTAGCCATTGACTATGTGCCTGCGGCCTGACGTGATTCTCACAATACAGTGCAGGTCCCCCAGTGGAGCTGTGTGGCCCCGGAGAAAAGCTCAGGCTCTGAGTGAGTCTGGTCCCAGGGCAGCCCCAGGCCCAAGCGGAGTGACACGGCACAAGTCCTCCCGGAGTCTCCATTTCCCCTCGTGAAGTGGGAAGGCCAGCCGCTCCCCATCTCTGTTCGGGGTTCAGGGACTCTCCCGTTTAAAGGCTACGGACACTATTCGTTCCCTAGCCCCGCGCACACCGCACGGTTTGAATCGACAACGGTGCACGAGTCCAGGCCCTGGCGGCGCTGCTGCTGGACACCGGTCTCCGCTCTGCCCGGACAGGGAAGCCGACCTACCCGCACCAGCTTGGCGAACGGCCTGGCCACAGACGTGCTGAAGCATCGCACCTGTGAAACAAAGGAGAGCAGGTCACACTCGGGTCTCGAGGTCATTTACAGTAAATAGGACGTGGACACGGTGGTTTCTCCTGTGTCATCACAGACCCAGGGAGGGTGGGCTGCTCTCGGTCAGGAGCGAGCGACCAGCGCACAGCCTCGCCCAGCTGCGTGGGAAGCTGCCTCCCGCGGACGAGCGCGTCTGCTGGGCCCGGCTGAGGCCGGCACTCCAGAACAGAGAGAAACAGAACAACAAGGAAACTGGTGTTTCAAAAAGAAAGGGAAGACGTTTAGCATTTATAGAACCACCGTGAGCAGGATTTTACTGCAAAGCGGCAGGATTCCGGCACCATTGACAAGAGGTGCACCTTCGGAGAAGCCAAGTGCCTTCTGGGAACGAGGCTCAGCCCTGGGGAGGGGGCAGGTCCGGTGCGGGAACAGGCCCGGTTCTGCGACAGTAGCTCATCCCCTCCCGGGAGGGGCGGCCACCTGCTGGGGCCGCGGGTCGCCTTCATGCTGCAACCCCAGCTCCGCAGTGTTCACACCAAACCGGCCGTGAGGATGAAAAGACGCTGCGGCTCTTGCGGGAAAGTTCCCTGAGGGTCAGAGGTCAGGCCAGGGAGAGCGTCGCGTGGGTGAAGCAGAAGGGCCCGGGCTTCCTCTCCCTGTCGGTGTAACTCCGTGGGTTCGGATCTCAGCTCTCCCCCGAGCGGAACGGGCCATTTAAACGCTGTTGTCTCACTTTCCTTACAAGAAGGTGGGCTGGCCGAACCGGTTTGGCTCAGTGGATAGAGGGTCGGCCTGCGAACTCAAGGGTCCCAGGTTCGATTCCGGTCAAGGGCATGTACCTTGGTTGCGGGCACATCCCCAGTGGGGGGTGTGCAGGAGGCTGCTGATCGATCTCTCTCATCGATGTTTCTAAGTCTCTGTCCCTCTCCCTTCCTCTCTGTAAAAAATCTCTCTCTCTCTCTATATATATTTATATCTATCTATCTCTATATATATAGAAGGTGGGCTGCGCTTTACAGTCCTTCCTTAGCGTCACCATGACCCTCGCGGTCAGATCGCGACGCCCCAGGGAGGGGGACGATCGGGGGGGGCGGGCATGATCCCACTTCTCGGAATATATCCCAAGAAACCAGAAACACCAATCAGAAAGGATACATGCATCCCTATGTTCATAGCAGCACAATTTACGATAGCTAAATTTGGAAACTAGCCACAGTGCCCATCAGCAGATGACA